TTCTGAGGTGATAGGAGAGCTGGCAACGGATTGGACGAGCTGCTAGCATAGGAGCTGCCCCAGCTGCACCAATTCCTGGAGAAACGCGCATCCGACGGAACCGTTAATCTCCTCTCGTGACTCAGCTGTGCTGGTTGGGCATACTGCCTGTATTGTCGTTACTATAACTGGAATCCGCTCTGTAAACTGATTTTGTGTCTCTCTGTAACTGATTCTGCCAATCTGATGATCTCACTCTGACCTGCTGATTTTTACAATCCTCAGATCACGGAGACCCCCCGGGGGCCCCCCGGGAAGAGGCGAGTGTTACGATCTGTGTGGCATATCCATTCGGACGGCCTCTTATCAATTCTTTTCGGCAAGACTTATCCAATAGGGTAGTCTGAAACTCTGTTCTGAAGATTCTGAGCTACATTCATTTGTCGCTTCAATCTAGTTGTCACTTGCACATGGGTATTGTATATGTGCACTAACGATTACGTGTCACATCTGTCTACGCATGGCGGTCGGCGCAAGTATTGGACGCGACGACTCACACATGACACGAGTGCATCTTACTGGATAATGATGTACACATCGGATGACTCGACTTAGCTCTGTCCATACTTGTCCACGCGGCCAAGGCTCATGTACTGATTAGTGTGTTCGAGTGAGTACCTGATAGGAATACCAACCTGGGTATGTAGTACGCCTCGTACGTACCGAACCAGGAAGGATGGCCTTGAGGGAGAAGGTCAATGAACACGATCACACTTCTGGTGCTGATCTGAAGTAGGCAGTTTTTTAGAGCGCGCAGCTGGAGAGCAAGACAAGGGCTTCCGCAAGTGTATTTTGATCCGCTATAGGGCCAGCGTAGCCTTATAGGCCTGTAGCGTATCATGAGAGGAATTAGAAAGATAGCAGGTTAGAGCAAATTTAAACTCGCAGTTTGTCCTTTGTGAGATCTTTGGTGATATCCCTTACGAGACGCTGGAAGGGCAGCTTTCTGATAAGGTTCTTTGTAGATTGCTGCTACTTGCGGATCTGGCGCAGCGCAACAATTCCCGGCCAATACCTATGGGGCTTCCTCACGCCGCCGGTCGTTGGCGCGCTTTTCCTCGCCACCTTGCATGCGAGTTGCTTCCGGGGGGCCTTTCCGCCCGTGCTAGACCTTGCAGTTTGCTTCGTGCGGGCCATGGTGTCCAAGCTTGCGACAGAGAACAATTGTGGAGAGATGATCCTCGCAGCAACTTCAGGGGCGCTAAGCTACCGCCCAATGGGTTCAGCGGAGTTGTAAGCTTATGGCTCCTTGAAGAGTGGAAGGTGCGGCGGGCGGAGGGGCACTTGAGCGCCCACGTTTAGCTTTGCTCGATGTCGCAAGAATGCGCCGCTGGTTACTGGTACTGGTCACCTCGATGGTAACTCAGTCGTTTGTCCGTTTGTCCAAGATCGGCGATGATCGAACTCCGATGTCGGTCATGTTTCAAGATTACAGGCTGTCACGTGAGGTTAATGCATGCTTGTTCGTCGCGATCGTCGTCGGCGCTCGGCTTCCGCTCGTCCGACTTGATTTCGAGGTCGAATTTGGACTCGGCGCGCAATCAGTGTTCGGACCCACTCCATGACTCTGCTTCGTCGAACGAGTTGACACTCACACATGACTGCAGTAGGCTGTTTTCGAGTCTTGAAGCGCAGGCTGCCCGAGGTCCGTGGACATGTCGAAAGCCCACGAACCGCATGTCCCCATAACTTTGAAAGGTCGTTTCTTTGAAGGCGCCCGTTTGCCCTTGCTTTAGCAAAGCCTTTTGCCAACTCGCACTCTTCGCCGACGCAAGTAAGCATGGCGCGAACGAAGCAGCTGTGGCTCGGGAGCGGAAGGCCACCGCAAAGAAGTGCCCTAGAATGACGGCGCCCCCGGTCATCAAGCCACACAAGTACAGGCCTGGGACGGTGGCGCTTCGCAAGATCAGAAAATACCAGAAGACATTCGAGCTGCTGCTGAAGAAGGCGGCGTTCCGCAGGTTGTCCAAGGAGGTGATGGACTCGGAGAAGGTGCAACCGAAGAAAGGAGTCGTCACGTAGTGGGTGTTGTACATGCAACCTTTTCCTTCTAAAGGACTGCATTGTTGTGAGCATTCTTACATTGCGCCGTGGTCGATGAATTAACTACAGAGGTTTTGGGGTTTGTTGTACCTCAGGTTTTAATCATGGCGCGAACATTCATACAAATGAATCAGGTTGATATTTTCAACAAAGGGTCTGTGCCACATTCGCGAAGCTTCGAATTATAACTCAAGCGTGTCAATTTTAGTTGATGGGCTGTCGTCATAATGCTTCTGCTGATGGGCATTGGTTCGTCAAAGATAAAAAAATGTTGATGGGCTGTGTTCATAAGCTTGATGTTGATGGGCGGCTTCAACTTTCTTATGAAGTTGATCAGCTGTTCTATTTCTGTGCCCCGGATAGGAACAAGGTCACGGGTTTGAGTTTGCGAGCGCATACGATCCAAAAGACGAGCGAGGCTGTTGTCCATTGGAGTTTGTGTGTCGTAGCTTGAACTCGCGACTTTGCAATTTATCAACCGACTCTTCTTTGTTCAGCTTTGCGGAAGAGGCGTACGACGCGCTGCAGGAGGCGGCGAAGGCCCGGTACCTCGTCAAGATGTGTGAGGAGGCGAACCTCTATGCCATTCACGCCAAGAGGGTGACTCTGATGGAGTCGGACTGGGCCCTTATGCTCAAGCTGAGGCATGGGGAGTGGAGGTTCCCGGTTAAGGAGGGGCCGGGCAAGTACGTAGTGTAAACAAGAGTAGGGGAACTATAGAATAGTGGGATTCAGCTCCAGTGGAGAATGTACATAAAAGATCAACTTGATAGCGTAACAGTTGACAGAGAACAACCTTGTTTTGTATTAAAGTCCTCACGGCTCAAATTCCTGCATATCAGAATTGCACACTCTGATAAGATGACAACTCATTCACGATTTGTTCTTGATTATCTTGGCAGTATTATTCAATTTCATTCAATGTTGTTTGCTTCCGCCATTTAGCTGGCAATTGCATTCCAGAAGCATGAGGCCCATATTTCAGCTGGATTATGCAGGAATTACAGGCTTTGAAAGCTATGTGCGTGCTTCTTCCGAAATGACCGATTCGTGTTGCATATTTGATCATTTGCGCGGCTTGCGGCATCACAGTCGCCGGCACGGCACTGGCCGGCGTACACGGCACTTGCCGCCGTACACGCGGCCGCCTACGGCTTACACGCGGCCCCATCCGGCGTACAGCCGGGACCGGCAAACCCCGACACTGCATAGTACCGATAGTAACTCGCCGACCAAGCCGGCCGGCAGCAATTGCCCATATGCTCCGGCGGTCTGCGAGACCGGCCGCGGCACCTGCAATATTGCCCAGCAGTGTGGCGGCACAACCCTCGGTTTGTCCTGCCGGCACCAAGCTTTTCCGACTATTCAGCCGGAAAGCCGCCCGGCACCAGGTCCCGCCGGACCGGCGATAGCCGTCGCCGGCGCCCTGCCGCGTGATGAGCGTCGGCAGTCGGCTTGCTCGTACCGGCAGCAGCCTTGGTACACGCGGCAGCCGCGGGGTACACACGGCAAAAAGCCGGCACACAGCCGGCGTGAGCGGTCTGGGCTCGGCACACTTCCGGCCTACATCCGGCAAACTCCCTAATTTCCGATGTTGGAATGTGCTTCGAATGCATGAAAGTGGCCCGATTGGATTCCTAGAGTACGCGGAATCAAGAAACGAGTGCGGTATCAATTGTAAAAGTTTCAGAGTCCAGGGCACGAGCTGGGATCGAACGGTGGTCATCTTCATAGGCTCTATCCTTATGATTTATCGATTTACACAGTGGACGTGAGCTTTTGTGTCATCTGGGTTTTAAACCGGCAACACTATGAAAACCTACATAGACACATCACAAGGCCCCGGTGATGTTGACTTCTTTGCACCTTTGCTTGAGCAAAAGCAGTACACGTGATTTTTCTGCGCATAATCCAATATGGGTGCTTCGAGCATCTTGAATGGTTTATCCTTGAGAGAAAGAGACATGGCAAAGACGTCGTGGCGCGCGGATATTGTTAGAATGCTGGAGTTGAATCTTTCATCACAAAAAGACATAAGCTAATTGACTCATTACTTTTAAGCGCCTGATGTAGAAATGAGGCAAGTGTGACGTCATTCAAGGATCAACGCGGCTTAAAAATGGTCACTTGTGGCACTTTACCGCAGAAGCAGCCCTAGTGGCAGGCCCCCTGGAATTTGCTTCGAATGCATGAAAGAGGCCCGATTGGATTCCTAGAGTACGACGGTGGAATCAACGAACGAGTATCAATTTTAAAATTTCAGCACGAGCTGGGAACAATGGTCATTCTTCATAGGCTCTATCCTTAATCATGAGTTACACACCCCGGTCAATAAGGTTTGTACCGGAGGTTTTTCACAGTTGCAAGCAGAATACCTTTTGGAGTGGCGGTTATATTCTTTTAAAATTCTTAGGCTTCAATTGGAAGAGGTGAACATGAGTGGCGCGTTTCAACTGCATGAAATGGCAGCGGTGCAAAACTTCCCATAAACTGACGAGGATTTTGTCAATTCACTTGAAAATTTGCTAATTTGTCACTAGCACCGCTGAGTGATAACGCTTCCCCTCTAGCACCTCGAGAAGGTTCCTATCCAACTTAGCCGACAAAGATGGATAATTTCACAGGCAAAAGCATGTTTGTGTAAGCACGCAAGTTCCATTGACCGTCTTCGAGCATATGTGTGCGCGGAGATATCGGGAAGTGACCACGTGAGCACTGGGTTTCGTACGTGGCCACTCGATATTTTGAATCGAAGATTTTCTGTTGCGTCCCGCTAGCTTGCACGCGCATTGGTTATGGATCTCACTCAAAAGTACATGGGGTCGAACCCGCGAACCGGCGCTTGGCACTCGGTTGCTCTAGCTCCCTACGGCCAGTCCGGGCGAAGGCGAAGGCGAAGGCGGAAAACGCAAAACGTAGTAGTGGCCGGCGCTAATGCTGGCGGGTTTATTTAGGGGGCTCTTTAAGAGTCTTCAGGACCCATCCCGGCGATCTGATTGGTCGAGTGACGTAAGCTTAACGCCGTCACCGAGGTTTCAGACTCCGCATGCACATTGCAGCTGGGTTGGTGTTAATGATAAGGACCGAGGCAGACTATGATGTCGTTTCAAGGCTCCGCGCCGAGCCGCAGTCTGAATTGGTTGGCACTTCCTCCGGGTTCTCGGTAGTGATAACGCTATACTCGAGGCAGCAATGTGAGTGGTCGCACCAATTTGATTCTGTGTCAATATCCCAGATCAGCAGCATGTTATTGGAAAGTGACACTATGAGCAACGTTCGGTGCACAAATGCACCCCTGGAGGCCTGTTTGCCGTTCTCGCACCGATGTTGCAACTGGTGTCAAGCAGTCAAGTTGAGCGTGCACGTTGAGGTCGTTTGCACCAGGTTCGACAGTTTGGTGACCGATTGGAAGTGTCAGTAGATGCGGGAATGTGCTTAGCTTGCCTCTGTTGACACTACAAAGCATCCCGAGGGCCAGGAGCCCTCGGCACGCCTAGTTTGATTGCTATAGAGTTGACTCAGGTTTGGGGTAGGTCTCATCAAATTGAACCGTTTGATCTCGTAACCATAACCCGGCGGAGTTGCCACGTCATCCGGGTTTGGTTATAAAGCTTGTTGACTGGATGTATTCGTTTGCAGACCCCCACAAACTTTGTGACAAAGGTTTGTACGTACTCTGAGGCCTGCACTCGCGACTCAGATTGATTGGTTGTTACCTTATAAATCGTCTTGC